TCATTCACCTCTACTTGGGTCGCACCATCTGCAAGCTGTCAAGCTGTCTCCGTCCCTGTCAACTCAAGAACCACTTGTACACATGCCCATGCTCTGGCCGTCCCTTCTGTCCTCCCTTTCCTGCTCTCGTTCTCTGCTTCTCTCCCTCCTGCCCCTCCCCCCCCAATCGGCACCACAGCACGGGCAGCACCACGCGCACGGCAATGCATCGGCGCACCACTGGTGGGCGCACAACGCGGTGATAGCTCACCTGGAGGAGGGCATCGAGGTCATCCACCTCTACTCCGGTCGCACCATCTGCAAGCTGCTGCTGCCCGACCATGGCCTGCACGCTGATGTCAATGGAGACGGCGTTCTTGATCATGTGCAGGTGAGATGCGGTGGGTTTCGGTGCAGTGCAGTGGGGCACAGCGCGGTGCAGGGGAGAATAGAGGGCTTAGAGGTGATCCATCATCCACCTCTACTCCGGGTCGCACCATCTGCAAGCTGTTGCTGCCCGACCATGGCCTGCACGCTGATGTCAATGGGGACGGGGTGCTGGACCACGTGCAGGTGAGATGCGGTGCAGTGCGGTGCAATGGGGTTGGATGGGGCGTGCAGTTGGGGAGGTGCGGTGCAGTCGAGAATGGTGTGGGCACTGAGCATCTGCGTGGCCCATAAATTGTACAACTGTTTGGAGTGGGCATATGTGCCGCTGTGTTGATTCCAAATGTTACCACCGATAACTGGCACCACTGAGACAGCGCCACTCCCTTGCGTCTCACTCACCAGTGCATCCCCATTCGCCGTTCCCTTGCTCTGTGCGCACCACGCGCAGGCGTCAGGGGCGTTGGGAGACGAGCTGTTTACGTTTGGCAGTGAGGAGGAGGCATCAGAGGTGGTGAAGTCGTGCTGGACCATGGCGCTCTCTCCGGCATCCCCCCATGTGACCCACTACCAGTGCCTTGCCTTGCACCACTCTCATCCAATCCAATGCACCCCATGTCACCACTCCCTTGCTTCATACACCTCATGTCAACCACAGGCATCAGGCGCGTTGGGAGATGAGCTGTTCACGTTTGGCAGCGAGGAGGAGGCATCGGAGGTGGTCAAGTCGTGCTGGACCATGGCGCTCTCAGGCATTCCCCCCACACAGCCGCTCTTCAACGGCTCCATCTGCCGCCCCCATGCCTCACTCTTCAACCTCGCGTGAGTGCCTGCACTGCACCCCATGAGAATCGGCCCATGTTGAGTCGTGTCAGCCTCATCAGAGGTGGTGTCCTGCTGGAGCATGGCGCACTCTTTAACAGCTCCTTGATCCGCGCGCGCGCCTTGGTCCACAGCTGGGACTGCAGCTCCAGTCCCCAAGCTGGGACTGCAGCTCCAGTCCCCGGGGTGGGACTGCAGCTCCAGTCCCCGGGGTGCGACTGCAGCTCCAGTCCCCGGTGTGGGACTGCAGCTCCAGTCCCCGGGGTGCGACTGGAGCATGGAGCATGGCGCTCTCTTTAACAGCTCCGTGGTCCGCGCGCGCGCTGTCCACGCCTCCCTCTTCAACCTCGCGTTAGTGTCTGCACTGCACCCCGTGAGAATCGGCCCATGTTGAGTCGTGTCAAGGCTCATCAGAGGAGGTCATGTCCTGCTGGACCATGGCCCGTTCGCGGCTCTTGCTTGTGAGTCTCTCGTCTCTGAGTAGAAACAGTTGAAAGAGGGCATGCCACAGAGCAACAGTGAGCGGCACCGGTGGCTCTTGCTTTGCCATCCCTAACCCCCTTCCTTTCTTCCCGACCTCCCTTCCTCGCCTCACCACCTCCTCTCCTCCCCCCTCCTCCCCTTCTCCTCTCCTGCTGCTGCCCCAAACACCCCCCTGTTGTTCTGTTCTCTCTCTTCCCCCTCGTCCCTTCCTCCTTCCATTGCAGTTCTGAGTTCCAGGACCAGTGGAACGAGCACACGACAGGGCAGCAGAGGGTGTGCGTGATGGCGCCCATCCTGCTGCTCATACGCTCTTCCCCTCCTCCCCTCCTTCCCTCCTTCCCTCCTCCGCTCCTCTCCTGTCGCAGTTCTGAGTTCCAGGAGCAGTGGAACGAGCATGCGACGGGGCAGCAGCGGGTGGGAGTGGTGGCGCCCATTCTGCTGCCTCGCAGGGACCGCCACCGCCGCCACCAGCGCCGCCACGGAGATGTCATCTACTTCAACAGCCGAGGCGAGGTGAGCAGGCAGTGAGTGAGCACACATATGGTCCATGGCCGGCAGACGACGGGCATGGTTGAAGCGAGGAGATGCCGTCTACTTCAACAGCCGAGGCGAGGTGAGACCCAGCATACAGGCATGCAGGCTTGCTTGGTATCCACGTCAGCACTGATCCTCGTGGACCGCCGCAGACCCCGCAACCTGCACCTGAGGCCCCTCTGAAGCCAGCTGTTTCATGTCCGCTTTTGCTACCCCCTCTTCCCCCCATAGGTCACCTCTTATGCAACTGAAGCGCTGAGCAGCAAGGGACCACACGGCCACATGCGGTGGCAGATCAGCACAGATGCCAAGTGGACCCCCGCTGACCCTGCGGCCTCCTTCTGATGCCCTTCTGAATCTGTTTCTTGTCCGCTCTTCCACCCTCCCCACCGCCCCCTTGCGCACCTCCCAGATCACCTCATACGCGACTGAGGCCCTGAGCAGCAAGGGACCACACGGGCACATGCGGTGGCAGATCAGCACAGACGCCAAGTGGACCTTCGCCGACCCCGCCACTTCCTTTTTTAGGCTCCTCTGAAGCTGTTACATGTGCGCTTGTAACCCTGCCTCCCCCCCACACGTCTCCCAGATCACCTCATACGCGACTGAGGCCCTGAGCAGCAAGGGACCACACGGGCACATGCGGTGGCAGATCAGCACAGACGCCAAGTGGACCCCCGCCGACCCCGCAGCTGCCTTCGACTCCTCCGCTCCCCCCGCCCACGTGCCCTCCCTGCACGCCATGGCTCTTAAAGCCGGGGGACGGCCGGAGGTGATTCTGGCGGTGGGGGATAACGAGGCGGTGTTTGTGTCTCCTGGGGGGAAGATCCTGGGGACGCTGGCGCTGCCGACGACGCCTACAGAGCCGATTATTGTGGCGGATTTCAATGGCGATAGGCTGAATGACCTGATCATCGTCACTGCCATTGGCCCGTACGGGTTCGTTCAGGTGCGCTGCTCGTTTCTTCTTGGCTCTTTCCGGTTTCTGTCTGTCTCTTTGTTTGTTTACTGTTTGCCTATTTTCCACTGTGTGTGCTGCGTGGTCCTGTCGTAGCTTATGTTACCATGCTCTTTGCCCTTCTTTGCCCATCTCTTTGTTGTTTCACGGCTTGACTGTGTCCGCATTTCCCATGTTTCCTCCTCGTTTGGATTTCCTTTGGATCCCCATCACCTGCTCTCACAGGTGCGGCAACCAGGAGCCATGCTGCTGTCCTCGCTACTGGGCTGCCTCGTTATAGTGATGAGTGTCATCTTTGTGTCGCTGCATCTCGATGCACCTCGTGGTGGCAAGCCACGCGGCAGAAGCACCGACTAAGGGTATGCAATGCAGGGTGCTGTGGGAATGCAGGGAGCTGTGGGGAGGGGAGGCAAGGTGGTTTGCGCACAGAGGTGACCCTGAACCCAGCCCAGGGTAGGCATGTCTCGGGAATTTTTGGACGTTTAGATGCAGTAATTTGAGGGGTTCTGTCCAATGATAAAGTCATACGGGACAGTGCATTCTACAAAGGCAGGCATGGGGAGGTTAATGTGTGCCTGATCTGTATTGTACGGTGTTAAAAAATCTTTAAGGTGCATTTTTGTAGTCTAGAGATTACTGCACCAGGCATCAAGCTTTTAATACTTTGAAAGTTGATAATAAGCAGCCGTCTCAGTCGAGGTGTTTCCAATAACGGGTATGAGGAAGGAACATCCGCTTGCTGCTGAGTCGCCAGTACCAGCAGCCACTTCCGTGGCACCATTGCTAGCGGTGTCTCCGTTCGTTCCATCGCACCAGGTTTGTCTTCTCTCATCGCATCCCGTCGCGCCCTGCCGAACACGCGACGACAACCGCGCGGGAGCATGGCGTCTCTCCGCCGCCTCGCTTCGTCGCGCGCCCCGCTGCAGCTCCGCTCGCTAATCGCCACACGAAGCCTCCTCCCGCCTCCGCACACCATCCACCAGGCAGACCCTCCCTGTGATGTAGATCGCAGCGCTGAGCTAAGAATCGCGTCGCATCTGAACGGTCTTCTTGGCTTTCCGCACATTCCGCTGTTCGCCTCCGCCTCACCCGGACTGCCTCCGCCTGACGCTTCCGCGTCCCCGCTTATCCGTTCCGCTTCCGCCGAGCCTTCCGCCCAGGCGCTGCCGTTGGGGGAGCACGCGGGGGCGGGGTTGGAGTGCGGGCGCGGGGACAAGCGCACGAGGCGGGGGAAGATCTTCAAGGGCTCGTATGGTAACGCGCGGCGGGACAAGAAGCGGGAGAATCAACGGCTCCGGGAAAAGTGGGAGCTGCCACCTGGCAGCAGCGTTGACACCGTGTTAGTCGGCCGATAGCTCGTCATAATGATGACGTGTCAATTCAGTTCGTGATTTGCGACGTGGCAGCATGCCCAGGGCAGCACGTGCATAAGGATAGGATGAGGTTCTTTGTGCCAATGACGAGGAAGAGCCTAGGGTGTACGCAGGGCTAGGATGTGTAGAAGCGCTAACCTTTGCAGTTCTGTGCATGCTGTGCAAGCTCTTGTGTATGTTCCTGCATTCCTGAATGTTTTGGTTCCAGGTCTGTGCTTCATGCGTTGCGTACACTCCAGATTCCCTCTGCAGCCAACTTGCCTGCTCTACTGCTTTGTGCCACCTTCAGATTTACGAACCAGTGTGCTTAAGGTAGCAGCAAAACATGAACTCTTGGGCCCACCCAAGGTGATGGGCTGGGATGAAAATCTTTTAATACAAGGGACCATATCCGCCCTGCATTCACTTCAGTCAATTGATTCGGCACAGCAACCATGGCACCCACTCATGCACTTCCTCCATGCTCAGTCACACTTGCCCCTGCCAGCACTGGCAGCACCCCCACCGCCCACCTCTGCCTGCACTGCCTTCACCAGGTCCAGCAGCTGAGGCACCACCTCCCCTAGCTTCCCCCCTGCCACCTCCCCCCACCCACCGCCCCCACGCTGCCCTTTCCCTCTCTCCTCCCCTTCATCACTCCCGCCAGCAGCAGAATTAGCAGCAGCAGCCGCAGCGGCAGAAACAGCAGCAACAGCAGCATTGGCACACGCATTAGTACCAGCTGAACCAGCAGCAGCGCCAGCAGCAGCAGCCATGGCATCTGATAGCAGTATGTCACTCAATTGCGGTTCATCATTTGCTGCTGCAGCTGCTGCTGCCGCCCGTGCTCTTTCCTCCTCCACCCTCCTCTGCTCCGCCTCCCCTGCCAATCGCCTCGCTGCTTCCCTCATTACAGTCACACACCGGGCAACAGCAGATGCCAGCTGGCCGCCTTTGGGGAGTATAGGGGGTGCTGACGTGGCGCTTCTGGGAGGTGCCAGGTGGCTGCTGACGTGGAGGATGCTGAGGAGGAGGGTGAGTGTGCGGGAAGCTGAGGTGGCAACATCCTGTTGGGCGTGAGAGGGCATGGTATAGGTGGAGCAGAGACGCATTTGAGATTTCTCTGGTTATGCTGTTGCACAATGGTAGAACAGGTTGCATATCCCATTCAGTCTGTCCCCTTAGCTAACAAAACTCAGAAGCACAGAGGCACGCACAGAATGCAAACAGCCCGCCCGGTACTTACCAGGGTAAAGCCAAAGCCGTTCTTGTTACCCATCATTTCCGAACCACCATCTTCCTTCGTTGTAAGCACATTCTCCATAGTCACAGCCAGGGAATCTAGCAGCCACGCCAAGGGCTGTTCAGCTCGGGTCCAGTTCGAATCCAGCAGCAATGGCCACACCCAGTCAGCTTCGGCAACCGAACCAGGCAGCACCGGTGCCGGACGTCCAGGCTCGGCAGAAGGCAGTTGGTTTGGCGGAGGGAGTGGGAATGGAAAAGAGGCTCGGAGGGGCAGTGCTTTGGAGACAAAGGTCCGAACCTCTGGAGATGAAGCCTGGATAGGGTGGGAAAGCAGGGTTGGAAGATGCACTTTGAGGTGGTTCAAGAGAAGAGACACAGGGAAACGTAACGAGTCACGAGTCACGACTCAAGCAAAACGGTCACGAGAGCTAAGCAGAAGAATCAAAGGAAATCAAAGCTGAGGCAAGGTCGCTGGGATGCTATGGAGAGAGCATGCATGCTCACAGAGAGGAACAGGAGAGCCGTGTCAAGCCACTGCCACGCAGTTGCGAAGCGGGACTCAGTGAGAGGTGGTGGTGCTGTGTGTGTGTCTGTGGGTGGCTGTGTAGTGGTAGGCTTTGGAGGGTTTGGCTTGTGTGGTGCGAGGGAAGCGTGTGCTGCCACCAGGGCTCGACACAGGCCCGACTGGTGATGGGGCATGGGAGGGGATGGGAGGGCATGGGAGGGCACAGGGAATGGGAGGGCACATGAGGGCGAATGGAAAGAGAAAATGGTAATGAAACCAACAAGTGAAAAACAGGTCACATTGCTCTGGCTACAACCTCAACACAGAATCAGACACCGAAAACCATTGAGGCCTCTCACTCAACAGTGAAAGTGCAGAGAAATGATTGCTTCTGCCCACCGAATCACCCAAAGCATGTGTCGGTGGGCCATCGACACATGCTTGGACGGCCGAGTCACCAACAGTGCGTTACTTTCGAGTCACAAGACTCAAAAGTCAGAAATCGAAACAGTGAAGATGCAGTGAAATGATTGCCTGTGCCTCCAACACGCACCTTAATGGCTGAGTCACCGACGGTGCGTGCAACAGTAGGGGAAGGCGCAGAGGAGGCAGCGAATTGGATCCAAAAAAGCAGCACTCGCTGCAAGTGCACTGAGACTTGAGCAGTGGCCGATGCAGTGGTTGCGCTTGCTGCTGCTTTGGCACTTGTTGATGCTGCTGCTGCTGCTGCTGCTGCTGCGTGATTGGTTGATGCCCACTGCACCAGATCCCCCAACCCAGGGCAAAACGCGTTCACAGCCACCCAAACCTTCCGCCGAACCATCTTCTCCTCCGAACCTCCTGCCAGGCCTGGTGCTCTGGCTCCCCCTTTCCCCCCACGCTCGTCCTTCCCCTTAGCTGCATACGCGTTATGGGATGATGAGGCAGAGAGCTGAGAGATGAGGGTAGAGAGGAGAGCGAGAGAGGTAGCTGTAGCAGTGAGGGCAGGGGGGGTTGGCTTGAAGGGAGGAGTGATCAAGAGTGGAGAGGGGGAGGAGAGGGAAGAAGGGAGGGAGAGGCGAGGGGAGGAGGCAGCAGTGTGAATGGCTTCTACTGTCTGTGATATCACATTGGCACCGGTGGCAGGGTTGGAGGAGGAGGAGGAAGAGCAGATGTGCAACAGTCTGAGGGAGAGGAGGTCCAGGTAGAAGGATAGCAGCATGGGGTATGCACCCTCGCCACCCACTGCACCGCATCCCACTCCTCTCTCTGCCACACGCTTATCTCCACCCACACCCTTCTCCACAACACCATTCCCACTCCCATCCCCATCAGCATCCCCATCCCCACCCCCACCCCCACCCCCCTCCCCATCCCCACTGCCTTTTGTATGGCTGCCAACCTTCCCTTCTGGATGTCCGTCTGTGATTGGCTGTCCGCCTATCAGCACCGCCAGCCCCGCCACGTCATCAATCATCCCCGCCTGGCCCCACACTGAGTCAGCGCTACCGGGAAGAACGCCCTGCAAGCTGCCGACCAATGCCGCCCATTTCGCAAGTAGAACTGACCAATCAGAGGAATCCTCTAGGTGCCGTTGCTGCTGCTGCTGCTGCGGCTGCTGGTGATGCTGATGGTGGTGGTGGTCTAGAGTGGGAGGCGATGTGAGGTTTTCGTCTTCCAGGGGGAGCCAATCCGATGCATCAGATGCTTCTGAGAAGGTGCATGCAACAGGAACAGATTGGGGAGGAGGCGTGGCGTGGGGTGGGGAATGTGGGGGAGGGAAGGAGGAATTGGGTCGACAAAGTGGAATGGGGGAGGGCGGGCGGGTGAGATTGGACGAGGCGAGTGTGAGAGAGGGATAAAGAAAAGCTGCTTTTGCATGACATGACACCCGCCCTATGAGCAGCATACCGTTTGAATCCGCATGCAACGAAACGAGTTTCGAGGCATCTGAAAACCCACCCAGCCACCCACCCAGAAAAAGAGCATACCGTCTGAGTCCGTGTGATCATCTGTCTCTCCCTCTGCATGGCCCACACCGTCAACGTCGCCAGCAACGACCATGGCACCGCTGGGGCTGCTGCCATTTGCTTCAGGTACAGCTGGTCCTACTTCAGCCGTCTCACCAGCCTCGTTGCCCAAAGCTCTGGCTTCATTTGACCGAGGTTCGGTAGGAGGTTCGGCCGGAGGTTCGGCTGGAGGTTCGGCAGGAGGGGCGGGAAGCTCCGGAGGGTCGAGGTGCAAGGAGGAGAGGGCAGCTGCGAACGCCTTTACTCCAGCATCGCCGGACAGCTTGAAACAGTTTGCGGGCAGCTTCACCAGGAGAGAAGCTGCAGGACGAAGCAGCCCAACCAATCAAACGACAGAGATTCAAACACAGCCGTGAGAAAAATAAAATAAAAATGCAAGCTACCACGACACTATCTGAGATGTAAGTCAGAAGGGGTGGAGTGGGGGGGTAGTTTTAGAGGCCCACGAACAAGGAAGAAATGATGGTAGAGCCGTTCGCCGGACACAAGACGGTGCTGAAAACAGGATACTGCTGCAGAAGCCACATCCAGGGCCACCGGCACCTAACAGCAAAACCTACCGGCTATCTGAGCAGCAGCGTCTGCCAGCTGCATGACCGCTTCCCCTTGCTCCTCACCCTCCACCGCTCCAGCTTCCCTTCCCCCCACCCCTGCTGCCCCCCCTGGTCCCTCCCTCCCTCCCTCCCCTTCCCCTGCTGCTACGGCTGGAGCTGAGTTGCTGGGCAGTGGGCTGCTTCTGTCCGGCTGTGCCTTGAGTGCAGAGGCTGCGACGTATGAGAGGCCTGAGAGGAACCGGCTCGTGATGGGGAAAGAGGGAGCGCCGCTGCTGCTGCTTGTGGTGCCGCTGCTGGTGTAGCTCGTGGTGGTGGCGCTGCTGCTGCCTGTGGATGGAATCAGGTCCACTTGCTTTCTGCACGGACAGATAGAGATATGCATGCGTGTGTGCATGTGCGTGCATGTGTGAGCATGTGTGAGCATGTGTAGACACACAGACACACAGACGGACAGGGAAGGGAAAGACTTGAGGACGCCATCACGCATCCCCCTGTGCACGGCCAAACTCTCTCCTCCCCCACCTGCGCTTCCCCCGATATCTCTTCGTGATTACTGCTGATGGCACTCCATACGCATGCACTGCCCCATGCCCCATGCCCCATGCCCCATGCCCCATGCCCCATGCTCGATACCCCTCAGTTCTTATAATTTTCCTCCAAGCCCTCCCTCTCCCCAATCCCCCCATCACTCCATCCCCCCTTCCCCCACCTGATAGCGCCAGCGAGCGCAGCCAGATCGCGGGGCTGCGCGGACGGGAAGTCGAACCACAGGCTGCGGAACGCCCGCTCCGCGCGCTCCCCCTCGCTCACGCGCGCCGCCGCCCGCTCCGCCGCAATGATAGCGCGCGCCATGTCTGCCGCCAGCCTACGCTGCTGCGCGCGCTCCGCCGCAGCTGAATAGGGGGAAAAAAGGGCGCGCGGGAAGGCGTGGGGGCGCATAAAAGACGGGAAAGCGGGAATTGCGCATGACGGGTGCGCGGAAGAAGGAAGAGGGGGGAAGGAGGACTGAGGGGAGAGGTCTGATGCGCCATGCGGCACGCGCCGTGCGCCGTGCGCGCAACGACGGTTACCGCCCGTACCGGGGTCGTTCGCGTCGGCCGCGATGAGAGCGCGCGCCACGTCGACCACAGCGGCGCGCAGCTCTCCCGTCCCCATGACGTCAGCAATCGCGCGCTCCTGCTGCTGCCGGCGCTGTCCCCCGTCCGCCGCCTCCCCGCGCCCCATGCGCTTTCCTGCGCGACCGGAACGTTATGACGGTGAATGCGGAAAAACGAGAAGTGGGATAAGGAGATGGAGGCAAGAGGTAACGACCGAGACGGAACTATGGTAGTGTTCACAACGAAGTGCTACGCAAGACGGGAAGTGAATCTTGGTTCGTTATACAGCTATTTATAATAGAATTGAATCTCAGTGATAAATAGGAAACTCAAATGCTACATTTCTTTCAATAAGCGATTGAAATAAACAGAAGTTTAATGCCCTTGGTATCCCACAAAAAGGTCCAGAACCATCTCGTTAACCTCTACAGGATCATGCCGCAGGTATTTCCCCGGGTGCCTCGAGGCCTCCATGACATGCTTATAAGCGAGATAAAAGTCGGTGTAGGGCGCGAGCACACGCTGCTTCACCGCTAGACGTAATTCGTCTCGCAGCGGGCCTGGGTTGACCAGCCACCGCGTTTGGTCGCGATGAATCTCCTCCAACAGGATGTTGAAGGCCTTGAATTTCTCCTGATAGGGTGGGTATGTGGTGTGGATGCATGATGGAAGACGGCAAATTGGGAAGAGGCACAACTAGTGCCACACAAGCCACCTTGTTTGGTCGCGATGGATCTCCTCCAACAGGATGTTGAACGCCTTGAATTTCTCCTGAGAGGGTGGATTTGTGGGTGCATGATGGAAGGGAATAGGAAGGAAGGGAACAGCATGGGAAGGGGCACAAGCCATCGTGTTTGGTCGCGATGGATCTCCTCCAACAGGATGTTGAACGCCTTGAACTTCTCCGGCGGGGTTGAATTCGCAAGCACAGGATGGAAGGAGCAGGACGAAGGGGGCATGATTGGATTGGATTGGATTGAGCACAAAGCCACCTTGTTTGGTCGCGATGAATCTCCTCCAACAGAATGTTGAACGCCTTGAATCTCTCCTGATAGGGTGGGTTTGTGGGAGAAGGATAAAGAGTGGGTCCATGCACATGCAGGATGCATGTGGAGGTGAAAAAATAATGGAGCTAGAAAAATAGAAAAAGAGGGAGGAATGGTGAAGCTCTCCTTTCTCTCGCAACTTTAGCATGCTCTTGTGCGGCTGTGTGGAGGGGTCGATGCGGAGCGTGCGGTGTTGGAGGGAGAGCAGAGACACAGATGCATAAAGCAGCATACACATACACATACGCATAAAGCAGCATACACATACACATACGCATAAAGCAGCATACACATACACATACGCATAAAGCAGCATACACATACACATACACATACGCATAAAGCAGCATACACATACACATACGCATAAAGCAGCATACACATACACATACGCATAAAGCAGCATACACATACACATACGCATAAAGCAGCATACACATACACATACGCATAAAGCAGCATACACATAACACATACGCATAAAGCAGAATACACATACACATACGCATAAAGCAGCTTACACATACACATACGCATAAAGCAGCATACACATACACATACGCATAAACCAGCATACACATAACACATACGCATAAAGCAGAATACACATACACATACGCATAAAGCAGCATACACATACACATACGCATAAAGCAGCATACACATACACATACGCATAAAACAGCATACACATACACATACGCATAAAGCAGCATACACATACACATACGCATAAAGCAGCATACACATAACACATACGCATAAAGCAGCATACGACTGGGGAAACGAGCGAAGCTCACCTTGAGCGTGCTCTTGTGCAGCTGAGTGGAGGGGTCGATGCGGAGAGTATAGGAGAGGCGGGAGAAGCAGAAGCGCAGATACTCGCTGGCGTGCTGCCTCACCAACGCTGCCTGCCTCCTCACCCAGTCGTCCCCCATCACCACCCTCATGTCTGACTCCTTCACCTGCAGCGAGGGAGAGAAAGGGATGGGTGGGCAATTTCAACAAGGGGAAGAGACAAGGATCAAGCATCCATTCATTCCCCACCACAACCCGCATGTCTGACTCCTTCACCTGCAGAGAGGAGGAAAGGAAGTGCAATTTTGACAAGGTAGTGGATGTTGTTGATCGAAAGAACATCACATTTGAAACGAGAAGAGCGGGCGGGAATTAGAGCATGGATGCTACTCAGAAGAAACAAAAAAACCCACCTTGCGAGCCATGTAGTGGATGTTGTTGAGCAGAAACACCTCGCCCTGAGCGGGGTCCCTATACTGCCTCGCCTTGCCCTGCAAATTCTTCTCCAACACCGCCAGCTGCCACACCACCTTGCGCCCAAGCCCTGCATACTCCGGCACCCCCGCCCCTCTGAACCCCTTCCTCGCTTCCTTCCTCGCCTGCTCCCGCCTCCTTGCCTCCTCCTCGTCCTCCTCCTCGCTCTCACTCTCACTCCCCTCTGTCCCACTCCCCTCCCCGCCACTCCCACTCATCTCACTCCCACTCGACGCACTCAGCGTGTCCAACCCGCCTTCTCCCCTCCCCCCGTCCCTCCCACTCCCATCCCTCCCACCTCCTTTCTTCTTCGAAGCAACCAGCTTGTGAATCTTCCCAGCAGCAGCAGCATCGCCTCGTTTGAACAGCCTTTCAAGCGAGTCCCGGTATTCGTAGAGCAGAATCACGTAGTTGACGACGTAGCGAGTGAGCCCGTGGATGGTGGCGGTGGCGGGGATGTCTGACACGTCGCTCTCGATGCCCGTTTCAAAGTGCGTGAGGATGGCATTGATGGCGTGTTCCAGGCGAGTCACCACCAAAGTGAAGTCGTCCCTGAACCCCGTGCAGGGCCCGTCCCCTGCCACACCATGGGGGGAGGGGAGCAGAGGGAGGGTGGTGGATGTCTGAAGCGCCACTCTCACTGCCGGATTCAAAGTGGGTGGGGATGGCGTTGATGGCGTTCTCAAGGCGCGTTACAACCAGGGCGAACTCGTCCCTCACACCCGTGCAGGTTACAACCACCGCCAACAACCCCACCGCACCTTTACATGCAGCATCGAAGTCAGGCTTCAGGCCCGCCATGAGCTCGTAGAGGCCCAGCATGGAGAAGAGCCGCTCCGCCAGCCCACCGCACCACACCCCCCATCCCATCCCACCGCACCCCACCGCACCCCACTGCACCTTTACAAGCAGCACCAAAGTCAGGGCGGAGACCCGCCATGAGCTCGTAGAGGCCCAGCATGGAGAAGAGCCGCTCCGCCAGGCGCTTGTCAAGAGTGACCGAGCCTGGACGTGCGGAGAGGCTGAGGGAAACAAACTTACCCCACTTCACCGCATTCCACCACATTCCACCGCACACCGTACTCCACCCTACCCCACCGTACCGCACCTTTACACGCAGCATCAAAGTCAGGCTTCAGGCCCGCCATGATCTCATAGAGGTCCAGCATGGAGAAGAGGCGCTCCGCCAGCCCACCACACCCCACCCCAACCCACACCACTCTACCGCACTTCATCCCACCCCACCTTTGCACGCAGCATCAAAGTCGGGCTTCAGGCCCGCCATGATCTCATAGAGGTCCAGCATGGAGAAGAGCCGCTCCGCCAGGCGCTTGTCAAGAGCAAAGGCCTCGGCAAAGGCGAATATGAATCGCACCGCGGATGACGCCACCTCGTGAAAACACATCTCCGCCAACTGAAGGGGAAGGCAGGCGGGCAAGAGACAAGGGGCAGGGGTCAGGGGTTCGGGGGATGCTGTTTGGGACAGGGAGGCAGAAAAAATTGAACAAGCAGGATTTGGTTTGAGACGGTCGTGTCAAAGAGACAGAGGGACGCTCCTCCCTTCTCACTCACAAAACTCCACCCATCCCACCCGCCCTTTCCCGCACTCACGTTCCCCTGCCCTTGGAACACCGAGTCACAGAGTCCCCTCTCAGCCAGCAGCACCACGCGCACGACCAGCCGAGCAAACTGCATCCACGCCTTCACCTTTCCCCTTTCCCCATTCCCCTTGCACCCTTCTTCTCTTCCCCACTTCCCTACTTCCCCCATCCCGCACTCACATTCCCCTGCCCTTGAAACACGGAGTCACACAGGCGCCTTTCCGCCAGCAGCACCACACACATGGCCAGCTGCGCGAACTGCATCCACGCCTTCACCCTTTCCCTCCCTTCCCCTTCCCCTCGTCCCGCACCCCGCACTCACGTTGCCCTGCCCTTGAAACACGGAGTCACACAGCCGTCTTTCAGCCAGCAGCATCACGCGCACGGCCAGGCGGGCGAACTGCATCCACGCCTTCGCCTTTCCCCCTTCCCCCATTCATTCATTCCCCCTTCCCGCACTCACATTCCCCTGCCCTTGGAACACGGAGTCACACAGCCTTCTCTCAGCAAGCAGCACGACGCGCACGGCCAGCCGCGCGAACTGCATCCACGCCTTCACGCGCTCCTCCAGCGCCTCCCACCGCACGCCCCCCATGTCCTCGGGGCGGAACTGCCCCGCTGCCAGCTGCTCGAGAGTTCGATCCAATGCCTGGTGGAGGACGGAGACGGGGCAACAAAGAACCTTATACGAATGAGCCTCTTCTACCGCCTCCAACCGCCTCCCACCGCACGCCCCCCATGTCCTCGGGCCGGAACTGCCCCGCTGCCAGCTGCTCGAGAGTTCTGTCCAACGCCTGTGGTGAATGGGAGTGCGGACAAGGGCCAATACGCGGTGAGCGAGGAAGGCTGGAAAGAAGCCTTCTTCCCTGAACCACAGGAAGTCTACTCTACTCTACTCTACTCCCGCTGCGTACCACTAAGAACGAGGTGGGTCCAACAAGACGGCATGGTGACTTGGGAAACCACTCACCACGTGCGAGACCATACACCATTCATTCCCCCTTCGTCTGCCTCCTCTCAACGGCTCCGTTCGCCCTCACTCCCTCACTCCCTCCCTGCTCGCCCCCTACCTCCCGCCGTTCGCCCTCGCTACCCGTTACTGCCCCTTACGTACTCTAACCTGCACCTTACCTGCTCTCACCTGCCCGGTACCTGCCCCTCACCTGCCTCCGAATTGCGCGGTAAGTCTCCAGGCACGTCTGTCCCAAACCAGCCTGCACCATCCGCCGAGCCACCTCCCGAACCTGCACTGCAGCATGGGGCTGCATCAGGTACGGTCCGCCGTCCGAGCCTCCCTTGGACCCCCTCCCACTGCCGAAGCTGCCGGCGCTGCTGCCGCCCGTTCGGCTCTTCGACGCGGCTTGGTAAACCGCCTCCGGTTCTAGCGGCTTAGAATGCGCTTTAAGGACGTACCAGAATCCCTGCTCTAACCACGGCCGCGCCGCGGCCGCAAACCACTTAGCTCTGTGAAGCATCTCGGCAGCTTCGCTGCTGTTTCCACCGTATCTTCCCGACTCGCACGTGTCGATCACGGATTGGATGGAATCTAGGGCTTGCAGGTACGCGTCCACGTGGACGCTCGAGCCTTCCCATAGGCGGAGGCTTGCTGTTGACGTGTCACTGGGAGTCTGGGAGGACGCGGAGCGCGTGCTGCTGCGGGAGGAGGGTCGGCTGCTCGCGCTGCTTCCGCCGCCGTGTGATGACGTGTCGGAATGCCATTGGCGGAGAACGCGCTCAGCGTTCTGAAGGGCTGCTCGGGTAACGGTAGTTAAGGCGGTAACCATGCTGGGCGAACACGCACGAACACAGCGAAGAACTATGGAAAATCGTATCGCAGCTAGTAGTAAACTTTTTGAGTTTTTCAAGAAAGATGTGAAAATACGAGACACTCGGATTACGGTGTGTTGCCGCTAGAACTACGGGACTCTCGACGCGCCACGTGTCGGTTGGTGTAGGGACGTACACTACTATGGGATTAACTGCACCTAATCGCGAACATAAGACAGACTAGAGCACTGCTAACTTCACGGGCTCGCAACACCGCGCGCCGATAATATTCACAGCACCGTTCTGCTAAAACTACGTCGATAGAGCTGCTCGCTCGTCGCCTGCCATGCTACCGTCGTTCGCGGCTATCCAGCACCGGCGAATATGCCACGGCCGTTACACACGCAGGAGTTAAGTCACTTGAGGCACGCGGGCCCAGCGGGTCAGTGGCAGGATGAAACTGTGAAATGCGAGGGAGGAATGCGAAGGGAGATGAAAGTGGAGAATGGAGAGGAAGGCGGAGGTAGGGTAGGGATGGATGATGCCTGACAAAAAAGACGGCCGAGGTCCGACAGCCGAGAACTGACCGACGGGTCACGTCGCGTCATGGGACCATTAGAAACTCCCACAATGCTTCCCGCCAGTCTTCAGTGGTAAACAGCTGGTTGCCAACTACACTTAGTTCATGAAACACGTTATATAGCAATTTATAAGCTCCCTAAACATGTTCCTTCACGAAAGAATCAACCAAGGCAACTTCAGATACAATACGACGCCAAGGTTCTACCACTCAAATCATCCATCAGTGCAACTCTTTTCTGAAAGGAACCTAAAATCACTGGGCGTAGTAACCCTGCTGATAGTACCCTGTTGTGGCACCAGCGGCAGGGGCGGCAGCAGCAGCTGGCGCAGCAGCATAGCCAGACTGGGGATACTGCTGTGAGAGGAGCAGGATGGGAAGGGAATGAAGGGAGCACAGAATGCATTTGTGAGCGACAAAAAATATCAATGACGGATTCCCTTGACTTGCACCCATACCCCCCCCTTTCCCTCTTCACACATGCCCCATACCTGTGCCTCACACCCTTATGCTCCATACCTGTGCCACATACCCATACGCTCCATACCTGTGCACATGCCTACCATTATGCCCCATACCTGTGCATATGTCTGCCCGTATGCCCCATATCCAGAAGCAGCAGCCTGGGGTGCAGCAGGAGCAGCAGCGGCGGCGGCAGGGGCAGCTGAGTAACCGCCGTAGCCAGCATAGCCAGAATACGCCTGCAGGGATGAAAGAGGGGTCAGGCCCAGAGATGAAGAGCAGTCACACAGGCCAGGCAGCATGGGGTGAACACAGGAAGGAGAGGGGAGTAATGAGCCAGCCAGACACACAGAAGATAGGATTACATGCTTACAGCCTGAAACACAGCCAGATAATATCATAAAAACCCCTCTCCCTGCCTGCTATCTCATCCCTCCACTCCCCTCCAATCACCCAACCACTTCCCCTGTGCAAAACCTCTCACCTGTTGCCCATACGCCCCCCATTGCCCCTGCTGGGCAGGCGAAGAAGCCGCAGCCGGCGCCGCAGCAGCAGCAGCAGGCGACGCCGGCGTTGCAGCAGCAGCAGCTGCTGCCGGTTGCTGCCACGCGCCCTGCTGCCTCTGCCCCCCGTACCCCCCATACCCCCCTCCCGCCGCTCCACCGTAACCACCAGCGCCCGCAGCACCATAGTAGTTGGAGGAGGGAGCAGAGGCGCGGTGGTGCTTGTACCCTCCGGCCCGGTCAGGGTAGGAGGTGCCGTCTGGGTGGGTGCGCTTGCGCGAGTCGGCAGCGGCGGTGGTGGCGGCGGCGGTGGGGCGCTTGAAGGGGAAGAGGGAGCGGTGGCGCGCTGCTGCTTGCTTCACTGCTGCTGTGTCCCCAAAGAGATCCGCTAGCTGGGAGGGGGTGGGGGAAGGGAAGTAGGGAAGGAGGGAGAAGGATGCGGTATTTGAGAAGTCTAATAGATTGCTTGAAGGGGAAGAGGGAGCGGTGGCGCGCTGCTGCTTGCTTCACTGCTGCTGTGTCCCCAAAGAGATCCGCTAGCTGGGAGGGGGTGGGGGGAGGGAGGGAGCGGAGGGCAGGGACGGAAGGAAGTCAGGGACGGAGGAGGATGGTGGGATGGGAGAGACGAGGAATGTGGAGAATGTTAGAAAGGAAGACAATGACACATGCAGAAAGTATTGGGGAAATGGATAAGTCTAAGTTCAACCACCCTCAATCTCAAACAGCCCTCAAAGAAATTTCCCTCACCTCCACGGCGATCGTGGAGATGTCTTCGCGGTCAGCAGCGGAGAGCAGTGGTGTGCTATCGGCCTTGACTCTGCCCAGTGCATCTGCCACCAGAGCTTCCACTCGCCCCATGCGCACCGACGGCGATGCACCCGGCAGCGACGCCTCAAAGGATATGGCCGCCTGGTGATGGCAGGATATGCAGCGGGGAGAGGGAAAGAGTGGGGCAGATATGGAAAGAGGACACAATGAGACGATGAAGCTACTGGTGAAGCTATGATGGAGCACACAAGGTAACTGCGACTACAATGAAACCATGAACAATACCACAATGGTACGTGGACCGGCCTGGCCAGATACCAGCCAGCCACAATGCCTGCAGGTCAAGCACGTACCACCAAACCCATTTCATGTCTGCGCACCTGCCAGATGGTCTTGTTGTCCGGTGCAGCATCGATCGCTGCCTTGAATGCCTCGCGAGCCTTGTCCTCCTCTCCACCCACCTGCACCCCACCCCACCCAACACACACAACACACAATGCAACACCCATGCATGCATGATGCTCTTTAGACACCATGGCCAAGGGCCAGCACTGAAATGTGCTCATGAAGATCTGCAGCAGCGGCCTTACGGTAACCGTGTGCTTATATGACGTGCAGCAAAGGCCTTACAGTGAGCAAGTAGCGGGCGTGCTGCAGGTGCAGATAGGGCAGGATCTTGGACCCCTCTTTCTCCTTCTCCGCCTGCGCTGCTGCCTCCAGCACTGCTGCCCCTGCCGCTACACCAGCCTGCCAGAGCAAAAGAGGGGGAAACACTATCACTGACTGTCGGTGGAAACATGAACTGATGGACTAATTTAAAAAAAAAAAAAAAAAAAAAAAAAAAAAAAAAAAAAAAACGGTGATTTCATCAGAAATAATTACACGACCTCCGCATTCTCCCAACCCAACTGTAACCCTCCTCAGTCACGCCACAATAATTTCCGGCCCTCCACTACCACGTCGCCACCTCACCAGCACCTCACCTGTCGTCTCTCCAGGTTGGCCTTCTGCACCGTCAGCTCCAGCAGGCCCGCTGCCAGCGATGCAGCCGTGTCCAGCGCTGATGTGGCACCCTCCACGTCCCCATGCTGCTCCTTGTACCGGGCGGCAAACAGGTGGATCTCCGGGCGGCGCTGTCAAGGAAGTGAAGGGGTGGAAGGAGGTGTGGAGCGGTGGCAATACATATTGGAGAGCAGCGAGGGCCAGAGACACATCTTGGGATATGGATCTGATTAAACTCAAAGGAAAGTAAATTAAGATAGTCTACTGTACTGACACTCAAAATCTATAAACAAGGCAAAAGCACTCAGCCTTGCACACACAACCTCTCCCCCTCCTGCCAAAAAGGCTCACCTTAACGAACACGGCAGTGGCTCTGAGTAGCGCGTCCTTGGCCCTCTCGTCCTCGTTATTAGCGTCCATGCACTCCACATAGCGCACCCAGTACTCGGGGTAGTTGGCACACGGCACCACACAGCGCTCATAGATGTTGATCGTCTGATAAGGATGGAACGGGGGATGGAAGGATGGAAGGATCGGGAATGGGTAACAGGAGATAGGGTGGGAATGGGGGACGAGGAATGGGAGAGATGCATAGAAAAGAGAGATGCGTAGAAAAGAGAGATGCATAGAAAAGAGAGATCAACAGCAGACGTGTGGGTTGGTTCAGCAGTCTCATCTGGTTAGTTGGATTGGACACACACACAGCACATGCACAACTTGATCGTGTCGAGGAACCAGGGAGTGCGAGGCATGGATGGGCAAGAGAAAACCAGTGTGAGTGAGTGAGTGAGTGACAAGGGCTCATGGAAGAGAAGGGCAAGTAGACAGGGTAGGGCTGCGAGAGACAGACAGGCAAGAGCGAGGAGAGATGGGATGGGTCGACAACGACGGGTGCAGGTACAGCCATCCAGCTTCCTCCCGACCATTCACGATCCCTGAATCCCCCACGCACCCTGCCACTGCCCGGAACACCCTCCACTCACCCGTGCAATGTTGCCCTCCTTCTCAGTGAAGTCCAGGTACCGGTGCCAGTTGTTCAGCTGCGCCTCGTCCAGCGGCTTCACATGGAAGTACGGGCGCTTGATCACCACCTCAAACTCCCTTATCTCCCCATCCCGCCGCTTGCTGCTCTGGTACATCACGTCCCTCAGCGCCAGGTACTCCGCTAGCTGCTGCTCCTCTGTTTTCGCCATTGGCACTGGCGCGGGCGCGGAGGCAGGCGGCGGGGCGGGGGTGGGGACCGCGGCAGGAGCGGCAGCGGGAGTGGCAGCGGGGGTGGCAGCGTCGCCAGGAGCAGCAGCATCGGCCATGGTGGCCTCTGCTCCTGGCGCAGCATCAGCACCCGCAGCAGCACCATCACCAGCAGCAGCAGCGTCACCTTCTGCTGTCTTAGCCTCGCCCTCTCCCTCTTTCGCCTCCTCCGCGCCTGGAGCAGCGGTCCCGTCCTCCCCTGCGGGCTGGGCGGGAACAGCCGTCTGCACCTTGAGGGCGGCGGCAGCAGCAGCCGCCACTTCTGCTGCGGCTGCTGCGGACTCCTCGGGCGTGCGAATCTCGTCCAGTGTGTGCGTTGTTGCAAAGTGGCGGAAGCTGAAGGGAGGAGGGGGTACAGGCAGGCGAGGGGGCGGGAAATAGGGGTGCAAGGGGGCGGGAGACAGGGGTGCGAGGGACGGGAGGAGGGGAGAAGGAATCGGTTGAGTGTGTGCGTATTCCTGCGGCGTGCGGATCAGGTCCAGTGTGTTTGTCGTTGCGAAGTGGCGGAAACTGTGGGGCCAGTGGCGGGTAGCAGGAGGGCGAGGGCGGGGGGGAGGGCAGGAGGGCGAGTGGGAGGGGGGCTAAGAGGCACGGGACGGGGGGGGCGAAGGACGCAGCAGGTGAGGTACGCACCGGGCGAGGGAGGCGGGGGGGGGAGGGGAGAGAAGGAAGCGAAATGCGTGTGTGCAAGGAGGTACACCCTCGATACCCTCGGTCCACGCCCTCCCACTCTCCATTCGCTCGGGACCCCCAAGCAACCCCTCACTGCACTCACGCGTGGTAGTAGTGGTCGAGCTGCTGCAGCGGCACCTGCAGCATGCGCGTGTAGATGGCGGCGACCTTGCTCCACTCGGAGCGCGCGCCCTCGTAGTCCAGGTACTTCTGCCACACCGTGTGCGACAGGTAGTCCGTCCCCACGTACACCAGCGCGCGCTCAAACAGCCTGCGCGCACACACATAAGCACACACACGCGCGCGCACACCCCCCCCGCACATCCTCCCCCCTTCCCGCACCCCTTCCCCAACCCCACCCCGCAGCCCACCCCGCAGCCCGCCCCCGCCCTTCCCCCACACACCAGTACCGCACAGCACAAATGCGCATGGAAACAGGAGGTTTGTTAGGCGGAGGAACGGGGCGATCGAGCGGTAGGAGGGAAAGGGTGGGCAGGAAAAAGTTGGTGTGTGTATCGAGGGACACAAGGGGAGGAGAAGTTGAGAGCTGTGTAGAAAACCGGAACCCCAGGCGAAACTTGGCACTCACAGCCCGAACCGAGCAACGAGGCTGCTTGTAAAGAGGACGGAAAGCGGATTAGCCAGACTGAATCGGACCAACGTCATTGCGTCTGTTTGCAGACCGACGGTCCACCGAGGGTTTGTTTTACCTCTTTCCTGCGCCAGCGCGGCCAATCGGATTCCTTAATCGTTTGCCTGCCCGGCTGCCCGTAAGAACCGCTAGGTGGTTAGGCGGTGGCCGATCTTTGACGCGGATTCGTTACAAGGCTCGGGAAGTAGGCGAGAGCAGATTTTAGACAGCGTGGCATCGATTAGAGTAAACGAATCAGGCGCGCCGAGGGGGGGAAAAGAAACTCTACGCGATGAATAAACGATAGCTATAAAAGCATAAATAAAAGAAGGGCAAAACGTCGAAACGACTTGTAAAGGCAACGGGAATGGTGCCAGGGAGGACGGAGAGGGGAGGAGAGGAGAGACACTGGGGAACGGGGGGGAGGGAAAGGAGTTGCTTCCACGCTCGCGCGGATCTGCATTAAACACAGGAGGAGGTTAGCGGCAGCAGAAGCAGCTGCGGCGACCAACGAACGAACCACTAAAAAGAGAAAAGCTAACGATAAAGAAGGTAGTGGATACGAAACGAGAGGAAATCGGCATACTCACACCCTGACGGCCTCGGCTGCGAGCCTTGGTGATGGGGTCACAGGAACCATGGGAATGAGGGTGGAAAAGATTTAAGACTGCAAGTATCATAGACTAGGCGTATGCTTAAAACAGGCCGAATGCGTTCCGTTGTGCTCAACTCTTGTAATCGAGGAAGAACGGAAGCGGCGGGACACGCGCCTTCGACGGACAGAACACCGAACAGGACGTTCGAGATTGATATAGACATAATGAGTGCGGTCGAGAGGGATTCGGATGTGCACCTGCGGATCTCCTCGGGATCCTCGACGGTGGCGGTGAGGTGGTTGACGTAGTGCAGCCAGATGTCGACGCTGTACGGCACGGCGGCGACGGCGCGCTCGAAGACCTCCAGCACGCGCTCCTTGTTGGCGTGGCGCTGCTCGTGGTCCGCGTACTTCTTCCAGTACCCGAAGCACAGCGGAAACTCCGCCAGAAACGTGTCGTACACTGAGCGCAGGTTCTCGAGCTTGTCCTGAAATGAACGGAAAAAAAGGGATGTTAGAGCGTGGAATTGATGAGACATTTCTTCAGGCGAGAAACGACGGCATTATTGATCATTTGTTAGATCTGACAAACGTATGGCGTCAGTCTGAACGAATAAATGTCAGCAATATATATACTAGGGAAAGGAATTGGGGGGAGCGGAATGTGGGGAACGGAATCAAAGAACAAGGCTCAAGGACCGGGTTTGTGGTATGGAGAACGTACCGATTTCTCGCTTTCCTGAATGAGCGCGACCCACGACTCGAAGTCCCCCGAGTTGGCGCGCACCAGACCCCATAGCCGCTCCTCCTCCGTCGGCGCTGGCGGCGCCGCAGGAACTGCGATACGGGACAGACAGATGCAGCACGATGGACAGGCACAGATGCCGGATTAGTCCAGACAAAAGCACGCAATCATGTTACATCACCAGAGATCTGCTAAGAAAAAAAAGGGCATTTCTAGCAAATAGGTGATAAGAAGCGAAGAAGCGAATGCCTTCAAGGAACCTATGGCCGACAGGACAAAAGTCGAAGAACCTTCAGGGGCTGCAGGAGCAGCAGCAGCCTCAGCGGCTGCGGTCGCTGCACCATCAGCAGCAGGAGCAGCAGTGTCGGCGGCAGGCGCAGCAGCATCGGCAGCAGGGGTTACGGCAGCGTCGGCAGCAGGAGCGTCAGATGCAGCTTCAACGGCAGGAGCAGCTTCACCCTCAGCAGCAGGAGCGGCTGCAGTGGCGTCGTCACCAGCGCCAGCCTGAGCAGCCGCGGCAGCAGCAGCCTCTTCCGCTGCCGCTTCCTCCTCCGCTGCTGCTTCCGCCACGGCCGCTGCAGCAGCAGCTGCAGCGGCTGCAGCTGCGGCCGCTTCAGCAGATCCGTTCTCTTCAGCCCCGTCTTGGGCCATAGGATCGTCATTCGCGGCTGCTCCGGTGTCCGCGGCTGCAGCTTCCTCTGCTTCTTCGCCATGCACGTCCATCTTCACTGGCTGGTCTTCTTCCGACGCCATGTCGCTAACCTTGCCCGAGAAAAAGCCCTGAATAAAAACAGAAGCCTTTACAATAATCGGCAAGTATTAAGAATCGTGGAGGTGGAAGAAGCGGGTAGTGCCAGCGCCTGTCAGATGGACCTGCTAGTAACAAGGAGATAGACCAGCAGAACTAGAACCTTGAGAACGGCGGACTGGTGTCTGGGGTTCGCTTTGACTGAAAGGCCTTCAGATGTGATCCAGTTTCTGGACGTATTGTACAGCGCATCTGCTATTGACGTGCATAGTATAGTATCAAATCAATTAACAAAACAAGTTTGCTGGACTGGAGCTTGGGAAGCTGGATTTTGTTGAAATGCATGGAAACGTACGATAGAGATTTCATGACCGGCGATCAACTATATTAACGATCATGATGTGATATGACACTGGTATACATGCATGATTGCCGTGCAAAAACAGGGTTGCAATCGGTCATCGTTCATAATTTGTAAGATCAAGGTGTGTAATTGTGGAGACAATTCTCACATTCTATCCAACACAGGCCTGTACTGCATGAAGTAATGTACCACAACAGTTGGCCCATTCAATAATGGGATGAGATTCATAAAGGCCACACCCCTGTTCATCTGGACAACCCATGCGCTAATGTCAGAACCTATGATGGACCAAGCATCTTCTCCGGGACGACCACTTCATCAAACTTCTCAGAAGTAATGACTCCCAATGCAATGGCGGCTTCCTGCACACCGATAATTTCAATGTCAGCATTGGTCACAAGCTTGCAACATTTATTACTGAAGCAAAAAAACTGCATATTACCTTCAAAGTAGTTCCTTCCTTGTGAGCCTTCTTGGCAACAGCGGCTGCCTTGTCATATCCAATGTGCTGCAAATATGCAACTCACTCTGTTAGTAAGACAAAGGAACCTTACAGGAACTGAATTCCGATGGGACAGATGATGCAGAAACTTACCGGGTTCAATGCTGTAACAAGCATGAGCGACTGAACGACGAAGGCAAATCAGCACACCACAAACATGGACAAGTTAGCACTCGGGATATATGCGAGAAATAAAATGTGGTGCAAGACTGTCAGATAGTTACACACCTGCTTCATGATGTCAGAGATACGAGCTCGGTTTGCCACAATGCCAACAACACAGTTCTTCTTGAAGGAAAGAGCAGCATCACCTAGGAGGCGCATAGACTGGATACAACCAAACACGACTCCATTTAAGCAAAACATTGGTTTTGTACTACATAATCTTACAAGGTTGCTTTAATGAACAAATAGTCTGCACCAGTGAAAGATACTGACCTGAAGCAGATTAGCAGCCATAAGGGGCTTAAAGACGTTGAGCTCAAAGTGACCATTCGAACCTCCGATCGAAACAGCAACATGATTACCCATCACCTGCCACAAAGCATGCATGAGTCCCAGTGAGCACACCATGAACTCTAAACAATCCATAACAGCTCGAGGAGACGGTCACCCACCTGAGCGCAGACCATTGTGAGCGCCTCACACTGTGTTGGGTTGACCTTGCCAGGCATGATGCTGCTGCCTGGTTCATTCTCAGGCAGGAAAAGCTCGCCCAAACCACACCGAGGGCCACTACACACGTGGGGAGAAGAGGTGTAGAGGCGTTCACAGATCAAGCATGTCAGTCATGCTAGTACTGAAGTTGCTGCGTGGTTTCACTTCAGCATGGTTTCACTTTGGCTTGTAATCAGCTTCGTGCTGTCTACCTCAGCGGGTTTTTTCTGCACTCTGTGAAGTTATTTTCTATCGTGTGGAAACCTAGCCTAAACTACAGGTTTCCACAACTGACCTGCCAAGGAAGCGAATGTCGTTAGCAATCTTCATGAGTGACACGGCCACTGTGTTAAGCGCCCCGCTTGCCTCCACAAGCGCATCATGAGCGGCCTGCAATAAGATCGGTCGAAAATTATACTCCAAGCGAACTGCTGCACACACATTTCTCATGGCAAAGCTTGTTCTGATAAGGCAGCAGTGCAGAAAAGACAACACACCAGTGCTTCAAATTTGTTTTCGGCAGTGATGAATGGCAGCTTCGTGTCCTCAGCAACAGCCGCAGCAACCTTCACGTCAAACCTGCAAGGTTGGGAACAATGAAGCGTTAAGGACTTTGCAAGACAAAAGGATGCACGGGTAGGTAGGCACATGGCGATTCGTAAGATGCCTCACCCCAACTTCGTGTTGAGACCAGTGCCGACCGCCGTTCCTCCTTGTGCGAGCTGCAAGTGAGAACGTCACGTGGTTAATAACAAATATTGCTCGGAAAGATCCGCAATAAGATGCATGCAACAAGCAGAAACTTACTTGGTAAAGGCGCGGGAGTGTGTCCTCAATACGCCGAATGCCATACTTGATCTGCATAAAGCCGATACACACTATGAGGTTACCACAGGCTGTCACAGACTGTCTACTGCATCATAGAAGAAAGCAAACATTCCGTACCTGCGTGGCGTAGCCACTGAATTCTTGACCAAGGGTCAGCGGCGTTGCGTCCTGAGTGTGAGTGCGGCCAATCTTGACAATGTCCTTGAATTCCTCAGCCTGCACCACAGCAAAGCAGTCCCTTCCGTTTGTGAAAAACGAATCTAACAAAAATAACATTCGTAACGGTGGAGCAACACACAGACTTACCTTCTCTGCAACGGAATCGTAGAGGGACTGAAGGTGCGGAATTAGATTCGAGTGCGCCTCCACAACAGCAGCGATGTGCATCACCTGCATCAGGATCCACGTGTGAGTGACTATCAGTACTCTCAGGGTTCGACGCACGTCAGGTAGGCGTTCTAGAAATGACAAAAGGTCTTGCGATCTTACGGTGGGGAAGGTGTCATTGGAGGACTGGCTCATGTTCACGTGGTCGTTGGGATGAACAATGCCCTTGTCACCAAGCTTGGATCCCAAAATCTCAGCAGCACGGTTGGCAATGACCTGAACACAAGAATGTTACAAGACTTTATTACCAGAGCGCCGGGACTAAACCAGAACTGAAGGGGGCTAGATAAGTGAGCAACCGTACCTCATTGGCGTTCATGTTGGACTGAGTTCCGCTACCAGTCTGCCAGATGACGAGGGGAAACTGGTCCATAAGCTTCCCGTCTGCGACCTCCTGCGAGGCCTGAATGATCGCATTTCCAATCTTCGGATCCAAACCGTAGCCGAGATTGACCTGCATGAACGGACGCAAACTCCATGAGGTTCGTCATTTACTCAACCTTCACTACCACAAGGTCAAGATCCAACCTATACGAGAGAAGGACGGCGCTCGTACCTGTGCGCAGGCTTTCTTGAGAATTCCGAATGCTTTCACAATCTGATCTGGCATCCTCTCCCTCTCTCCTCCAATCTCAAAGTTCTGAAGGGATCGCTGAGTCTGCGCTCCCCAGTATCTGCAATGCACGCCTTTCACGATGTTAGTGGTGCTACTACCTTCAACACGAATCGCTCTAATGACGAACATGTAACTTTGCTCACTTGTCGGCAGGGACCTGAATCGGTCCAAACGTATCCTTCTCTTCACGGAACGCCATGCCGGAATATGCGCGTGAAAACAAGATCCGAGCTTGTTGATACTGAGGTTGTGGGGACGTAGCAAGCCTTCTAATGACCGTCCTTACTAAGTAGCTCATCTGGCCTTCAGAAGGGCTGCTGAAGGTATTTATGACTCCAGTCCCAACCAACTCAAGAATCCTGTTGCCAAAATTGTTGTGCTCAAGTCTGGCTGGTCCGTTTTGCACCAAGAAAGGTAGATTCAACCAACCAACCAACCCGACAAGGCGAGAATCTCACAGCAGCTGGATGCTTTCTAGAAACGGGTCTTCCTTCCCCCGTCACCGTCTTATGTCGGGGAACTCAGGATCTTCCTGTGATTGAGGAATCAGTGGCGTTTTGCCCCACGCGTAAGCCAATGGCTGAGCTGGAAGTATGTGCCAGAGGGTCATATAGTGCTGAGTCACTTCTTTGCTGGACAACCAGCCAAATTGAAGCATCGAAGGCCTTTGCCGGGGTTTGACAAGGTGGTCCCATTCCGTGTTGTTAGGCCCGACGGCCTAAGTCCGCTAAAGAATTAGCGGGGTCGACTAAGTCGAGGATGAAACGCGGCGGAAGACTTTGACGAAAGAACTATTGGCGAAATAGGTGAAGAAGTTACTGAGTAATTGAAGAAGAGTTGAATGAGAATTGATTGATAATGGCAAGTACAAGCAAGGTTGATATAGCATGCAAGATCGAATGTCGGAAAGTGCTTCGTGGGACTAGGAATTGAAGGCAAGAAAAGTAGAGTGCCACGTGGCACTAGGAAATCAAGGAAGATATGGATAAGGTTGAGTTGGAAAGTACTGTTCGGAATGAACAGTAAATCCCCCCTTAACACTACCCCCCTCCCAAGGAGGCGACGTCCGCGGCGCCTGCAGACTGGAGGTACGCTTGGAGGCAAGCGTTGTCGGGAGACAGCGAAGATGAAGGAACCCAGCTGTCATCTGCTGCGTCATAACCACGCCAACGAACCAAGAAGTCGATGAAAGGGACACCCCCCTGGAGACGGCAACGGTGCCTGAGGATGCGCTGGATCTGGTAGTCGGGCTCGTCGGTGTCAACAGCTACCGGCAGTGGAGTGCGGTCACGGCCCGAGAAGGTGGCGTTGGGATCGGTGTAAGGACGAAGAAGCGACACGTGGAATGACGGGTGCATGCGGAAATGAGCGGGAAGGCGGAGGCGGTATGCGACTGGACCAAGTGCGCGCTCAATGACGAATGGCCCAATGAAACGTGGACGAAGCTTGCTGTCCTGTGGCAGTCGGAGGTTGCGGCTATCCAAGAGAACACGGTCGCCGACTGCGAACGACACCTCACGACGACTGCGGTTGGTGGTGCGTGCCATGCGTGCATTTGCGAGCTCAAGGTGCTTCCTCACGTGATCATGGATGAATGTGAGATGCTGGTGGAAGTTGTCCGCACGAGGGACAGTGGGTGTGAGATCGACACGAGTGGGGACATTGGGGTGCTGACCATAAAGTGCAAAGAACGGTGACATGCCTGTGGACGAGTGGTGCGTGTTGTTGTATGCGAACTCGGCCATGCTCAGCTTCTTGTCCCATGCGGCTGCGTTGTGCATCATGATGCTGCGAAGGATCTGCTCCAAGGTCTGGTTCACACGCTCAGTCTGTCCGTCTGTCTCTGGATGGTACGCTGACGACATGGCTAAGCGAGTCCCAAACAGTGCGAAAAGCTGCTTCCAGAACTTCGAGGTGAATCTAGGGTCGCGGTCGGAAATGATGGAATCTGGAACCCCGTGCAGTCGGACTACGTTATCTACGAACAGCGTCGCGGCTTCCTCTGCTGTGACCTTGCCGTGCGTGGGGATGAAGTGCGCTGCTCGAGAAAACTTATCCACTACCACGAAGATGGCGTCGTGACCCCTAACTGTGCGCGGTAAAGCCATGATGAAGTCCATGGTAACTACCGGCCAAGGGCGGTCGGGCGGTGGAATCGGCTGCAAAAGTCCTGCCTTGCGCTGGCGAGAGGACTTCGTACGCTGACACGTGTCGCACGAGCGAATGTAATCCTCTACGTCTGCTGCAAGCCCGGGCCAGTAGTACGTGCGACTAAGCGTCTTAGCCGTCTTATCTGCTCCAAAGTGACCTGCGCTAACTACATCGTGCGCCTCGGAAAGAAGAAGCTGTCAAAGAGGGCGGTAGGCTGGAACCCAAATCCGTGTTGTACCCTTCCGTATGTAGACACTACCCTGCACCTCTGCTCCTGCGGGCGGCTGCGGTGTGAAGTCGGGATCTACTGTGTAACCGTGCTCGAAGAGTGCTGTGAGAAGTGGATGGCCGGCAGTGACTGTGAGGCTGGCGAGCTGGCAACTAGGGCGAGTGAGCGGATCTGCTGGGTTGCGAACGCCTGGCTTGTATCTATCCTGTAATGGAAACTCCCCTCCTTGAACTCCATCCATCTAGCCTGGCGGCGACTCAGCTGCGGCTGCGACTTGAGGAAGCGAAGCGAACAGTTGTCCGTGCGTATAACACTATCTGCCCCCTCTAGGTAGCACCTCCACACCTTATACGCATGGATGATCGCGAGCGCCTCCTTATCGTGTATGGGATAGTTCAACTCTGCTCCCCTCAGCTTACGCGACTCGTACGCGATCGGCTGCAACCCGCGTCCCTGGTCCTGAAGAAGCACTGCTCCTATGGCCTGATCTGAAGCGTCGGTCACTACAACGTATGGGCGAGTGGGATCTGGGTACGAGAGTGTCGGTGAAGACGTGAGCGACTGCTTCATCTGCTCGAACGCCTGCTGCTGCGCTAAACCCCAATCGAAATCTACGCCCTTCCGAAGTAGGTCGGTGAGTGGACTAGCGATGGAAGCGTAACCCTGAACCAAACGACGGTAGTAATTAGCGAATCCGAGGAAGCTCTGCAGTTCCTTGACTGAGGTCGGAGCTACCCAATCCTGTACTGCTGCGATCTTCTTCGGGTCGGTCCTAATGCCACTAGCAGATACGACGTGTCCTAGAAACTCGACCTCCGGGAGAAAGAATTCGCACTTTGACTGCTTCGCGTACAGCTTCTCCTTCCGTAAGACCTCGAAGACCTTCTGCAAGTGCTGCACGTGCTCCTCTTTCGTCTTTGAGAAGATCAAGATGTCGTCTAGGTAAACTACGACGAATGAACCTAGGAACTCGGAGAGGACAGTGTTCATGAGCGTTTGAAACGTCGCTGGGGCGTTGGTCAAACCGAACGGTAGAACTCTAAACTCGTACAACCCCTGCTTCGTACGAAACGCCGTATTGTGCTGGTCCTCTGGAACTACACGAATCTGATGGTAACCCGAACGAAGGTCGATCTTTGAGAAGACTCTAGCGCCCTGCACTGCATCGAGAAGATCCTCTACTCTCGGCACCGGGAATCTATTCTTGACGGTGGCGGCGTTCAGTGCGCGGTAATCTATGCACATCCGTAACCCTCCGTCTTTCTTAGGCGCGAACAGGATCGGTGCTGCCCAAGGCGATCTAGATGGCTGTATGAACCCCTGCGCGAGAAAGTGCCTAACCTGCTGCGTCATCTCCTCTGTCTCTGCTGGACTCAACCTCCACTGCGGCTTCGCTACTGACCTGCTCCCCGGCTCTAACTCTATTCGATGGTCTACTGCTCGGCTGGGAGGTAACCCTGGGGGCAACTCGTCGGGGAAGACGTCTGCAAACTCTGCTAACAGTGCACTCACCTCAACAGGAAGAGTCGCCTTCTCACTAACTGCTGCACTCCCTCCTTCCCCCTCCTCAGCTTCCACCTCCTCAAGGAAAACCGCGAAGATCCTTGCCGCTCGCTTCACCAGCTGCCGCACGCGAACAGCATTGATAATGGCTGTGGAGGATGTGGCCCCATCACTCTACTGTGGCAGCTCCCGGAACTCCCCGTCTACCTTGACGCTACAGCTTCCCTGAGCCCAATCGAACTGAGTACTAACCGTTCGTAGCCAATCCCTCCCGAATATGAAATCGTAACCGTCCAGTGTCGCAGAGTCGAAGTCACGCCTAACCGTGATCGGTCCTAGCACTACGCGCAACTTGCGAATGACTGGTCCTATGTGAAGTGGCGTCCCATCTACCATGCGAGCGTCCTTGAAGTTGACTGCCGAATCTGCTTCGAGATGGAGACGACTAACTAATGAAGACGAAACGAACGAGTGGCTAGCTCCGCTATCGATAAGAATCTTGACTGGAACTCCACGAAGCTTCCCTAGAAGCACGACTGGACGATCAACAGTGTCTACCTCGTTCGGCGTAGGTGACTGCTCTAAGGCCGTCTCCTCTACGTTGGTAGACGTGGCGGGTTCGGAAGCGTCCACACCAGCTAGCGACCCGCTATCTACTGGCGGTTTCCGTTTCCCTGCTGCCGCTCCTTAAGCTGTGGGCAGTCACGCTTCATGTGTCCCGGCTTTTTGCAGTAGTGACAGTTCCCCCTAAATCCCGTTTTCTGTGAGCCGTCACTGTTAACTGCACCAATCTCCATGGGCGATGGTCCGTCCCTCGATCGAGCGTCGTTGATCGGTCTGTTGTATCCCCTATCGCGATCGTCACGACCCCGTCGGCTTCGTACTGCGTCGACGCGTTCTGCGGCTGCGACAACTGACTCGAAGGTGGACAACCCGTGAATCGCTATAACTTCCGCTATGTCCGACTTCAACCCTTCGAGGTAGCGATCGCGCATCTCTGCTTCCGTGATGTCATCTATTTCGTTGCAGATGCTCAAGAACCGTCGTGTGTACTCCTGGACGTTTCCTATCTGTCGGAAATGGCGCAGACGCTTCCTAGCAGCTTCGGAGGCGTTCACCAAATCGAACCTACTTTTCAGCGCTGCTTCAAATCTTTCCCATGTGGTCGAAACCGTGGTAACACCCAAAGCTAAACTCCCTAAGCTCGAAGTTGCAGCTGCATGCCCCACGCCCTGTTGATGCCCGTCACTCTGAGCCCTTCTTACAGCAGTTTGCGTGAGTTGGCGCCACCACTCCAAGGCTGGGCCCCTCAGCAG